CTCAGCTGCTCTTTAGTTTTGAACAGTTAATTTTTTCTTGTGTTTTTGAGGTCAATATGAGGATGACAGTGAGAGTTAAAATTTTTGTCAAAATGAAAAGAGTAAATTATATTTCTTATATTTTTGAAAGCAGGGATGTATGTAGTACGTTTTTTAAAAGTAATTAGAACTGTTAAAAAATGGGTGGCAATCTCCTGTTATCTGGAAATCTGTGAATTAATTCTGAAGATTCCAGATGAATGGTTTGTTGATGTATTATTTGATCAGTCTCTTAAAAGTATTTACAAAGCTTTTTATGTTTTGCTTTCTTACTGGAGCAGTTCATATAATACTTGTGTGTGTGTGTGTTTTTCATCCCTACATTATAATGACATTAATACTTGTGGAGACAAGTGAATTTTATTATAATCAGATGAAAAAATTTATTTTGTTATTTAAGAACTGGTTTCCAAAGTGGTACTTATAATAAGAATCAACTGATACCTTGTCGATTTTAAGATTGTTTAGTGCAGCACTATTACTCATTTTTATCTCATACACGTAAATGCTCAATAGAAATGTATTGGGTGAGTGAAATACATGTTACATTGATGCACATGTGGCATATACTGCTAAATCATAAGTTGACCGTATGTTTGAAAATCCCATTTATATTTTGTTTGAAATTATTTTCATCAGCTTTCTTTTTTATATCTTAACTTCTATGTATAAGGTATGTCTTTAGCTCATGTGTGTTTTTCCACATATATAATTTAAAGTATGTTGTGAGTTGATAATGACTTATTTATTCCTTCTCTTTTCCTCCATTCTTAGATTCCTTTTGCATCTTTAAATTCAAATTGTATCATGGGTCTCTTAGCATCTGTGTTCCATCTGTCCCCTATCCCCCTTTTAATTTTCAAATAAAAGGTGTCCTTATGTTAAATTGGGCTTTTCAAAACAGATAATTTGTTGTTCTTATGGTGGAATAATTCTCACTTTTATTCTAAGAATTGTGATGGGAAGATGAGCTAGAAATTCTTTCCAAGCCTTAGATTAAATCATGAAGGATAAAACTGTACAAATTCATGGTCATGAAAAGAAGTAAAAACTAAGAATGACACTTGTTAAAGAACAATGTATAACTGTAAACTTGATGCCAGGGAGTCTTTTCCTTGTGAAAAGACCTCGAAGTGGCTCTTATAAATATGAATGCATGACAGTGTGGTAGCAGCAGACTTGAGGTTTTATAGACAGTGAGGTTCTGACTTGTTATGGCCTCAACTAGAGAGCCTGCGTGCCACAAACTACAGAGCCCATGCGCTCTGGAGCTCCGGTGCCACAACTAGAGAGAGAAAACCCTTCAGGGCACAACTAGAGAGAAACCCACTTGCCGCAACTAAGACCTGATGCAGCCAAAGAATATAAAGTCTTTATTTAAAAAAAAGAAAAAGAGAAAGAAATGCTTTTCTACTATGTATATATAGACTGATTTGTTTTTGCTTTCTTTGCTTTGAAGGTTTTGGGTGTAGTATAGGGTAGGAGGTGAATGCAGTTATGTCGTCAGTCACTGTTATAGTCTTGACTATGCAACTGTTTTTGTTTCCATAGGTGTTTTTTGTATAATGACTTCACACCTTCAACTTATTTTTACTTGAACTATTTAATACCATACTTGAAGGCATATTTCAAGACCCCTTTTCCTGTATTACAAAACTAATATGCTCCTATTGCATAAACTTAGAAACTTTTTGCCACTTAAAAGTAATGGCTTACAAAAAGAAATTAAATTGAGTTATTTGTAGTGAGGTGGATGGACCTAGAATCTGTCATACAGAGTGAAGTAAGTCAGAAAGAGAAAAACAAATACCGTATGCTAACATATATATATATGGAATCTTAAAAAAAAAAATGGTTTTGAAGAACCTAGGGGCAGGACAGGAATAAAGACGCAGACATAGAGAATGGACTTGAGGACACGGGGAGGGGGAAGGATAATCTGGGACGAAGTGTGAGAGTGGCATTGACATATATACACTACCAAATGTAAAATAGATAGCTAGTGGGAAGCAGCCGCATAGCACAGAGAGATCAGCTCTGTGCTTTGTGACCATCTAGAGGGGTGGGATAGGGAGGGTGGTATATGGGGATATATGTATATGTATAGCTGATTCACTTTGTTATACAGCAGAAACTAACACACCATTGTAAAGCAATTATACTCCAATAAAGATGTTAAAAAAATAAAAGTAATGGCTTTTAATGATTTGCACTATTATCTTTCAGTCTGTTTTCTGAATGTGTATATTAATTATAAATTTTAAAAAATTGTGATGTGTAGAGGCAGGAGGTATATATGAGAAATCTCTGTCTTCTGTTCCATTTTGCTGGGAACCTAAAACTACTCTAAAAAATAAAGTCTATAATGTTTATAAATAAGTATATTTATAAATAAAGCCTATAAAAATTGGGTCATATTATATTATAGTTTTATTTCCTGAGAAACTAGTTTAATTTTATTCTGAAAAAAATTTGTTTTGTGACTGTGGTAGGTTTATAGTGGATCATATTCTTTATACATGTCATTAAAATTCTATAGTTATTTTAATCTGTGCGGTTGGAAGTCAGAATCGTGGTTACCCTTAGCAGTGCTGCATAATAAAGACTGGAAGGGGGTACCTGAGATGGGTTCTGGGTGCTGTTCATTTTTGTGAAAATTGAGCTGTATACTTAATGTGCTTTTTTCTGTAAGTATATTATACTTTAATAAACCTTTAAAAGTTTAATAATTATTGAAATAATACTTTTAGGTTAATAAGATTAATAGGGAAAAAAAATGCAGAGACATTTCAGATGACTATTTTCTTCAGTTGTGGTTAATGATATATAACTAGTTCATTTAAAAATGTGTAGTTACTTAGGCAATATTAACTTATATATGTGTCTGAGCTCCAGCTATTTATACTGACATTTTATGGCTGGATGACAGCCTATGACATGTTTTCAATTACTTTAAAACACCAAAAAGTTAAGAATAGTGAGCCAATCTGAAGTGTGAGAACAGCTTAATCTATTCTAGAATTTTAGAATAAGTTGTATATGAACATATGAGGACTTTATCTAGCTTTTTCATCTCTGTGTCCCTAACTTTTTCTTATACTCAGCAATGTGTATTTGTTAAGTCAGTGAATCCCTGTTTTAGTTTGCTCAGCCATCAACTGTCCTCTCATCTGCTTTCAGTATTATCACTTTAAAAAAAGCACTTTGTCAGTTTGATAGGTGAAAATATCTTGTTTCAAATTGTGTTTTTTAAATTAATAAGTTTTAAAATGTTTATTAAATACATAGATTTAACTTTTTTGAGAATTATCTAGTTAAGTAGTTTGGAGAGTCGTTCAGTACGGTAGCCCCTAGACTCGTGGCTTTTTTTAAAAAATTAATTAATTTATTTAATTTTTGTCTGCGTTGGGCCTTCGTTGCTGCATGTGGGCTTTCTCTAATTGTAGCGAGCGGGGGCTGCTCTTTGTTGTGGTGTGCGGGATTCTCATTGAGGTGGCTTCTCTTGTTGCGGAGCATGGGCTCTAGGCGAGCGGGCTTCAGTAGTTGTGGCACGTGGGCTCAGTAGTTGTGGCTTGCCAGCTCTAGAGCGCATGCTCAGTAGTTGTGGTTCATGGGCTTAGTTGCTCCGCGGCATGTGGGATCTTCCCGGACCAGGGCTTGAACCCATGTCTCCTGCATTGGCAGGTGGATTCTTAACCACTGCACCACCAAGGAAGTCCTCATGTGGCTTTTGAACAGTTAAAGTTGAGCTACTTTGAATTGAAATGTGTCTTAAGTGTAAAATATAGACTGGAATTTGAAATCTTATTATGAAAAAAGGAATGTAAAGTATCTCAGTAATTTTTTAGTATTGGTTCCATGTTGAAATGATGTTTTAGATATATTGACTAAATAAAATATTATTAAAATTAATTTCACTAGTTTTGTTTTGTTTCTAATGTGACTACTGGAAAATTTAAATTTACGTATGTGGTAACCATTATATTTCTGTTTGACAGAGCTGATCAAGACAGTAATCTAAACATTAGGTGACTAGGACCTGACCTTAGGGTAGTATTTATAGAAAGAGAAGTAAGGAGGGATTTTAAGAAATTATGCAATTGGCATATATGTTATATAATCTTAGGTGTTACATTACAGGCTTTTTGCAGTTTTGTGTGTTTCCATCATAGCTTTGTAATCAGTAGTAAGCTTTTGGAAGACAAGGATTTCATCACTATTTTAAAATTCTCCTCTGCATTTCGTCTTTTGCTGGGTGCATAGGAGCTTGATTGAACAATAATTAAAAGGACATCGAATAATTTTATACACACAAAGTTTGAATTTTTAGAATGCAGGTCAATGATTCTTAGAGTTACTATACCCTTTATTTTAATATCATAATATCACCAGTTAGCCATGTCAGTCATATCTTTTTTAAAAGGTGCAAGTATAAGGGAACTAACATCTAGTCTTATATATATACCAGCCTCTGGGTAGTCATTTTATATCTTTCTTCATTTAGTCCTTGTAGTAACCCATGAGAAAGATATCAACCATTTTACATATTAGAATATTGAGAATGAGTATTTTTTCCAGTGTTATGTTAACCAATCCAGATATGCCCAGCTTCAAAATTAGCCCCTTTTCCGTTGTAGTTTACTCTCTCGATTAAAGTTAGCCACTTACTTTAAGTGATTTGAAGTTAGTTTGTTGTTGTATTGGACATGAAGTATGTGAAGAATAATCTTTAGAATAAAATGTGTAGTGATAAATTTTGATAGTTTATGATGTATTATGTATCCTAGTGTTCAGTATATGAAAGGAAATTTATAAATAACTAAAACCTTAGAGAAAGAAAAAAAAGCATGTTTGTTTTTCATTCTCATTTTCTTGGTGTGTTGTAATTCTAGAAATTTCACTGTAGTTCATGAAAAAAATAAAATTTTAAAATAGTTTTAAATATTTATTTTGTCTTTTAGATAAAATCAAAGACAAAATTAAAGAAAGAGAAAAAGAAAAGGAGAGAGAAAAAAAGAAGCATAAAATAATGAATGAGATCAAGAAAGAAAATGGAGAAGTAAAGATTTTGCTGAAAAGTAAGTTTATATTTAGTGATTTCAGTTGTACTGTGTTACATTGTTCAGTATATATGTATTGGCTTAGTGATTAAAATAAGAAATGTTACTTGGTGCTGAATTTTTCTGGGAATAAACATTTGTGGTCAGACTATGAAAAGTAAATATAGTAGTGGGGTTTTCTAATCTGTGTAGTAATATGTCTTTAGTATATTTATTTAGTGAGTTATTAGAAAGTATTAAAGGTAATTATAAGGTTCCTTAAATTATTTGAAAATAGGTTCTCTAACTCTGTGTTTATATTACTAGTCTTTATCCATATTTAGATAATCTAAAATAAAAGGCTAAAGAAATTTTTAGCATGATAGTTATGGTGGAGGAAGTGATCTTACCAATATTTGATGATAATCACCATAGCATAGTCTGGGATTTAGAGGGAGCATTTTACTCTGAGCTAAATAAGAAGGTGTTGTTTTACTGTTTGTTTCTTGCATGCTTAAGAATATCCTCTTTTTGTTTCCTGTTTTTTCTCATTACAACTATTTTTAGTTGTTGTTTATACATAGGGGTGGATGGTGAGGTAATAATATAAATCCTGTCAATAAATCTGAAATTTTCCAGAGAGAATTTGTGATAGAAGGATAGTTTTAAATTCACTCAGATAGCAAGGTAAGAAGAATCAGTGGCATTTGTTTGCTAGATAGCTAGCAAATTCATTTGCTGCCTCATCAAGTTAACAATTTGTGGATCAGAACACGTTGACTTTGATTAATTTCATATTGAATTTATGTGTGGATAAGCCTTTCTATCTGCATAAGGGAGAAAAGGCCATAGCACTGTAGGTGCAATGAAATTACTGGTTAATTTATATTATTTAAGGTAAACAGTATTAGATTCTATAATTTCATTTCATTCTTTGTCATGTTTCCAGATGTTCTTTGGTGGCACTTTGTCTAAGCTCTATTTTCTACTTGTCAGAACTTTATTTTCTGTAAGATGGCTACTTGGTGAATGCTCATGGTCCTTTTGTTCTATTTTTTTTGCCAGTGTGTTTTATCTGTGTTGTCTAAATAGACTGTAAGCCTTTGAGGCAGGAGTTGAATATAACCACACTAGTGCTCTACAGCAGCTAATGATTAACACTTGAAATGTTTTCTTATCTTTACCCTCTTGGTTTAGTCAAATAGTCATTTTTTATTGGTTTAGTCACATACTCATTTTGTTATCCGTTTGTACAGTGGATGTAAATTCCTGTCACTTGGTTGAATGTTAGATTCCTAACATACCATTAATGTGAAGTATGTGAAGCTAGAAATTACATGTGCAAGCAGAATTTTAAATAGCCTAAAAAGTGGAGATTTTCCAGTAATATACAGTGGTAACCTTGACTTTGAAGTAAATGAAAAATTTAAGAGGTATTTTGAACCGAGCTAAACTAAAACCTAGTGATGATAGAGGGGAAAAAAAGAGATAGATTTGGAAATAAATTGGTGACTTCTGGGATGACCATAGGAAAATCTATTTACTGTAAAATGGAGGTAAGTAATAATTTAATTACTGTCTTAAAGGGTTGCAGAGATTAAATGAGGTAAAAGTAAGGGGGAAGTGCCAAGTACCAAGTGCCAAGTCTAGCCCTCAGGTATTCAATAAGTAGCTATGAATGTTACTTATAAACACATGAAAGATTAACTCTTGTGATTAAAAACAATGACAAAACTATCTCCCTTCCTAGTGGGTAGTATATAGATAATTAAATGAATAAAAACATGATTAATTTGAGAAATTGTGCCTGTCCCATGGTAAGCACTGAATAAGTGTAAGCTATTGTTACTATCCGGCAAAAACAATTTGTTCTGCTTGTGTGGCCGGCCATTTCCCAAGTGAACCTTATGATCAGGGAAAGGCATCCTTTGTTATTGGTGTCCTGGAGCAACAAGAGAATCAGTTAGGTGGGTGCAGTAAGTATCCTATTATTTACTACTTTATGTCCCTTTTTCTTTTATGGCTTTCAACTTTTATTCTCTCCTCAAAATTTTCTCCTTCTGATAATGCTAACAATTGCAAGCTATGGCACACGCAGGCATTGATTGATTGGTGATGACACTTGAATATCTGACAGTAGATGCTAACTCTCACTCCATGGGACTTTCGTGGTGGCCCAGTGGTTAAGAGTCTGTGCTTCCATTGCAGGGGGCACGGTTTGATCCTAGTCCAGGAACTAAGGTCCCGCATGCTGCGGGGCACAGCCAAAAAAAAAAAAAAAATTTTTTTTTTAAAGGGGGAAAAAAATAAAGGAACTAACTCTTACTCCACACCAGTCTTATTTCTTCCACATTTTCATTAAAAACTGCGTTATGACTAGAAATCTATACATGATTATATACATGCCAGAAATGTTTTATTGATGCAGAAATCTTGTAAATGTTTTTCACTGATAAAATAGGAGTTTGCTTTATTAGAAACAGTTTAAAGGAACAAATAAATTTGAAACATAAGCTTATTTAGCTCATCCTTTTATATCTAATGTCTACCAGCTACTTTTTCTGAGTACACTTATGTGTTTCAGCCGTTTTATGTTGTTTATTGATAAGGTGTGAGAACATGGATGTTATGATTATAGTATTCTTGAGAGTAAATTTTATCATTATAGCATATCAGCTAAGCTTGCTGACGAGCAGGTAGAAAGGGGATGAAAAGAAGCCAGTGTTCAAGGTTATTGGTAGTGTACTAAAGGTCACAGGGATGTAATTCATGACAGGAGGAGTGAAGATGTTGCTGTGCCAAAAAAGGAAAGTCATTCCCCAAAGACCAAAGGTTGAAAATAGCTAAGCTAATTACTGCTTTGTTTCTGTGTATGATAATGGAAATATATATATATATATATATATATATATATATATATATATATATATATATATATATATACATATATTATATATATATATGACTGCACTTTGTCTGTATTAAACTGCTGATATATGTGATCTCTTCTGTGTAATTGTGTGAAAGGAAGTCTAATAAATGTAGAGGATAAAGAATATATATATATATATATATATATATATATATATATATATAACTTCCCATATTAGATATGAAATCATATCCAGTATTTCTGGGCAACCTTTATTTTTCCTTTATTAACACTAAAAATATACTAAGGTTAGGAGTGGAAATTAATTCCAGTGATTTTGTGATTTTTAAAGATTTTTAAAAAAGAATTTGCCATTAACAACGCATGCTGTTTTTTTTATCTGTTTGTGTGTGTGGTTTTTTTCTGTCTCTGTATGAGTGCCTCTTTCTTCTGACTGTGTGTGTGTCTCCATTTCTCTCTGTGTCAGATTCTCTCTTTGGCTATCTGTGCATGTGTGTGTCTACTTGGTGTGTGTGTGTGTATGTGTGTGTTTGAGGTCCATTGTGCATATGTGTGTGGCTCTTTGTGGGGAGGGTCTCCCATCAACTTTATACTTTTATACTTTTTGAGGGTCCATATTACTTAGCAGTTCTTTCTGTTATAGGTATTTACCAGGATCCTTTTAAAAAAACACTATAGTTCTGATTTATTGGGCTCCGTTTGAAAAATTATGAATTTAGAGTAAATATGTACTTTAAATACCTTTTAGTATAAGAGAAAAACATTAGTATTCAAAATGATCTTATCTCCTTAAGTATTTAAAAATTTCCTACCTATGTATCTGTTGCATTTCATGTATCATTCCAAGACATTAAATGAGTGAGAGATTGTATAAAACTTTAAAAAAAAATTACCTAGTAAAGGCTAGTGCCTTGATTTGATTTAAATGTAAAGAATGCATTTTACCTGTACCCACTGAGGGGGGATCCCCAAGACTACCCCCAGGTTTGATGATTTGTTGGGAGGACTCACAAGACTCAGAATAAATTTGTACTCATGGCTGTGATTTATTATAGTGGAGTATGCAAAGTAAAATTAGTAAGGAGAAAAGGCACATGTGGCAATTTCTGGAGGAAGCTAGGTACAAGCTTCCAAGAGTCCTCTCCTAGTGGAGTCACAAAGGATGCACTTAATTCTTCCAGCAGTGAATTGTGATAAAATATGTGAAATGTTGTCTACCAGGGAAGCTCATTAGAAACTCAATAGTCAGGGTGGCTACTGGGAGCTGGTCACATAGGCATCCCCTGTGTAGCATGTAGGAAAATTCCAGAAGGAAAACAGGTGTTCAACGTAAACCATATTGTTTGCACAAACAGTTTAGGTACAGTGAACCACTCTTATCAGGGAATGGTAGTAACCTTCCTAAAATACAAGTTCTCAGATACCAGCCAGAGGCCACCCTTGCAAGCAGGCCTAAGGGTAGCAGTCTCAGGTGTGTTATGTTTAACTCTTTTCTGCACACTGTGCTCACTTTAGTATTTAATTACAGAGTAGTTTGTCATGGAAGTTTAATTACTTGATGCTCAATATAATAGTCTCTTGACTAATTTCTTATTAGTTTGTATTTTCCAGTTTCTATTATACTACTACTGTTTTCATCCATCCTTGTGACTAAGAAATAGACAAACTGTTGTACCTATTTTATTTTAAAGTAACATGACCAGATATTTACTATTTTAACTTTAAAAAATGTGTTAGTTGTAAATATAATAGCATATTAAGCTTATATTTTCATTCAAATGAAATTCTGCTTATTTTGGCAAACCATTTAATTTGTACAATTTTACATGTATTTCTAGTTTAGTTATTAATTATACCTAAGCCCATTAAACTTTAAGTCCTGTCTTTTAATACACTACTGTCTTTTTTGCTTGACTCATTTGGATTTTACTTACATATATTGAATATAAACCTCTTTTATCTTTCATTTTGATTAACTCCCTGTTTTTTGTTTTTTGGGTTTTTTTGGCGGTACGCGGGCCTCTCACTGCTGTGGCCTCTCCCGTTGCGGAGCACAGGCTCCGGACGCGCAGGTTCAGCGGCCATGGCTCATGGGCCCAGTCGCTCCACGGCACGTGGGATCTTCCCGAACCGGGGCACGAACCCGCGTATCGTGTATCGGCAGGCCGACTCTCAACCACTGCGCCACCAGGGAAGCCCTTAACTTTTTATTATTAATTTTTTCCTAAGATTTTAACCTGAATCTGATGTTTTGATAGTTTATACCTGGGTAGCAAGTATGAATTTGTTAGTATATTTTAAAACTACTTACATGTAGACTCGAGAAAATTAAAACTGTATTAAGTGTTGTATTTTATGACTTTGCAAACCTGCATAATCAATGATGTTGACAGATTTTTAGTTTTGCTTTTCATAATGACACCAATTTGGTCTCCATTGCATACTTAAGAATTTTTAGAAGAGATAGTTTATTATTAACATTAAACTTCCCTTTTTCAAGAATTGCTATGAACTTGAGAGAATATTTATGGTTGTTGTTTCAGGGTTAGGATTTAGTGATAGTATTCATATGGTGAAAAACTGACTGAATGGGAGACAAGGGAAAAAACCTGTAAACTTCAGGTAGTCTGTTGGTGAGAGAAATCTTTGCATTCATGGAGTCATTAAATGTTCATCTGTAGCAGTGTACTAGATGCCAGGAGGTATTTGATGATTGGTAAAAAAAGTGTTTCACTCTGAATTCATCAAAGTTATTTCTTTCACTCATACAGTATCCTGAAGGACATATATTATACAGGCATCCTATGAATGAAAAAATAATAACTTTATATGACCATATTCATAGATATAGAATATATAATAACATGAGTTTAGAGTGAAGTGATTTCAATTCCAGCTACAAAGATGAGGGAAAACAAAATGAAGAAGATGATGTAAGAGTAGTCTTTAAAGGATGGGTAAGAAAGAGTTCAGTAGTAACTACCAGGCAGGGCAAGGATATTTTAGGGAAA